GACGAGAGCGTTCATCTCTGACCACGAGAAACGTTGAAATTTAATCCAATAAATTTAGGGAACGTCCTATGAAGCCGAGAGTCGTGATTTCCTCGGAAACAAGCAGAAAAAAATTTTTAAACGGAAGTATGAGTGCACACCAAGTGAATGTACTTCGAGTGAAGTACAAGTTTTTTTCAAACCTACTCGTAGTAGTACTTTAAGTACAATTTACTCCAAGTACTTGCAACTGCTTACTACCATGTGCCTTAAAGGAGCGATGCAACAATTTTTGTACTTTGCGCAAATACCGCTTAAAACAGATCCCTAACGTTAATGACCTATGAAACATGCCTTCGTTCTTCACCCCACGCAATAGAAGTCCCAGAAAAAAATTTAAGAAAAACGAGCAGCGTTCACCCCTCAACTCACAGCCAGAACAAGTGGCCACGTGACCTGGAGGTGATTATATGCCGCCAGTGTTGATCATAGCCACACGCTGGGGTTGGCAAAGTGCAGGACACGCGCTGAGTTCCAGACATTGTTATGGCTCGGCTGTTGTCGTCGTTGCAGCGATTGGACACGGGTCACTACCCGAATGCTTCTCGAGCTAGCAAGTATCACGAGCCCAAGTCGAGTGCCCACGCAATGCTCAGGTCCAATCTATGAACCGCATTCAAATATCGTCACTTGGGTGTACTGCGATCCCCACGTTACGTCATCAAATTTTGCAAAGGAGAGATTGAATGAAAATGATCGCTTTTGTCCTTGAAATTACACCGCAACAAAGGAGTTCCTTGGCCAGTGGCGTTGCGTGTGGGTATCCTTGAGCCCCAGGTGTGCCAGTAAGCTCGTGTAGAGTGAAAAACATTCCAGTTGAATACCGTTGCACCGGTCCTTTAAAGTCTCTTACGACGAGGGCACGGTGCAGCCATCCATTGGGTAGCTGTGGTACACTCTGCGTTTCCGTATACTCCTTATTTTTTCTGCCATCGTTCTTTCTTCCTTGACTCGATAAACTTTTCTCACAATGTTTTAAATGATTGTTTTTCAAACATAAATACATACATTTGATCTCGCAAATACCGCAAAACCTTCGCTCTAGTGAAATGTATTTCCAGGGTCAGCTCATAGATGGCGCCATCGTGCCAGTGCGTTCCCTTGTCGTAGGACGTCGCAAGAACTCGGTCGTAAGCAGACGCAACTGCGCGAGCGGACCTAGAGCGATCGCGAGAGGATGCAACGAAGTCGAGCACGTCCACGTGCAAGTGTCTGAACCAGCCTTCACGTACGTGATTTCATGCACATAATTCGTGCAAACGGGAAGTTTCCGGCGGACACACCTTTGAGCGACGTGACAGAGTGGCGCCGCCTGGGAGGCTTTGCAGGAGGATTGCGCTTGGTCCCCGAGCTTTCGTTGGACGAAGTGCTGCGGAGAAAAAAAAAGCAACGCGCGGAACCTCGTTCCATTTGCGCGGACGTACACCCGAAACAAAACTGCGGTAAGGCGGTGGAAAATCACCTGACCTCCAACTTTCCTCTACGCGGCTCACACGACGGCTAACTGTTGCAGGCATATTGAGCCCAAGTCGAAATGTAATCCTATTTGATTGGCATGCGACGCGACCACGGTTGAAAACAACTGAACATTTAAATGAAAACTGAACTCCTAAAAAGTATTTCTTGTTTAAGTGCCTCATGGGACACACATGTCATGAAATAAACTTTTCTTAATAATAATTTGCTTGCAATGTTTGTATTGCAAAGCACGTTGTAGGCGAGATGATTCTGAAATTTGATCAGATTTCAAGAAATTGACACCGAAATAGAAGCATGTTTCGGAATCGTTCAAATGGTTCTCATAACGTGAATAATTATTTTTTTTCTTTTTTTTTTTTGGAAGGGGGGGGGGGGGGGGGGAATTGCAGTTTATTTGTGACACATAACTAATCTGCCCACTTAAAAAAAGAAAGTTTTGGGGAGTTTATAAAGAAAAAAAAAAGAACTTGCAAAAGAGTAACACATCAAGTTTGGGGCTGTGGTTTGTTCACTCGAATGTTTTGCTCAGTCTAAACATTTTTTTTTTCACTCGAAATAATGCACATGGCATCATTAATCGTCAAACATGACGTAGAAAACGCCAAAACGCTGCAAAATAATTTATTATTACGCTATTGGTTACACCGATAAATTTGGCTATTATTACGCCCCTAAATTTGACATCCCTGCTTTTTTGACGATCCAATAAACTAAAAATAAGTCAAACCTAAAAACAGGTTGTCACAAACCATCTTTAATGGGAAACAGATATATAGATCTTTCTAGAATACACTTATGTAACTTTTACTGCTTGATATAACCCAAAAGACCCATACTAAAACTGTCAGTAATTATAATAGATACTGCCCTCTTTTTTGTTGTCATTTTCAAAAGTGAAGAACAAAAAATTACGGAATTGACAAGCTTCTATGCATTGGCAATACACAAGAACCAATTCAATTAGTCCGCCAAGTATATATAACCATAATTTCATAATAATTAGGAGAAGCCACATACATGTATGTATGTGGCTTCTCCTGATAACCGAAGTGTAAACCCGAAAAATGCCTGGAAGCCTTATGGTGAAACTTTCAAAAGCTGGACGTGCTTCAAAGCAAGTGTTTCTTCCTTGGGAAAATACTTTCTCTTTGCGGGCCGTAATAGCAGCGCTGCCACTCGTCAAGGTCAAACCAAGGTCCTAATTAACGTAATCTGAGTATACAAAGCATGGGTGATTATGTGACATGTGAGAGTGAAAAGCTCACTGAATGACCAATGGGGAAGGGACGCGACAAGACAATGGAAGGAGGGGGAGAGGAAAGGAGCAGACGGACGAGTGGAGGCAAAGACATACATCTCCTGGATGCATGCGCGCCAAGTTCACGAGTTGACGGTGATTGGCCGTGATGGTTGGCCTCGCCTAACATATAGAGAAAGAAAAGCTGATTGTACGGTTCTCCTATTGCGATTCTTAGCAAACTACAAACTGCAGCGTCACATATGAGCGAAGTGACTCATGTTAACCTAAAGGCCCGTTCACACTCTTGCGACTGCTTGCGACCTCTTAAACCTGGGCTCCTTAAAACTTCTTAAACCAGAGAACACACTGGCGCCATCTATTGAGAAGCAGTGTAAACTCGGCGGTCCGGCATATTTTTTTTTATTTCTCGCGCAATATCCTTTCTTTTTTGGCTCGAAAAACTTTTGTCAATGTTATAAACAAGCCTTTCTATGGGTATTACGCACATTTGACCTCGGAAATCCCGTAAAACCTTCGCTTTTGTGAAATGCAGTTCTAGGGTCACCGCATAGATGGCGCCACAATGTCAGTGTGTTCCCTCATTCTAGAAACATTTAAGAAGTTGTAAGAGATCTCGTCTCTCTCAGTCGTACTCGGTCGCAAGAGTGTGAACGGGCCTTAACTGATATGCAAACAAGAATGAGGCGCACATCGTTCTTCGCAATTTAGTTTTCTGCCTCTTCTCTATAACAACAAAAGGCACAGCAAATAATTTATTAAAAGAGCAACTGCAAAGAAAAGCTTAAAAGTATTGCAGATACGCTTGCTGAATTACATTAATTGGGTAGCGACTGTTAATAACATGTTATATTCAAACTAATTGATTATCACAGCTTAAACATGGTGAGAGGTATGATGCATCAAACTATAATTCTGAAGCACATCAGTTTGTGATCTCTTGTGTAGTGTGATTAAAAAAGTCAAAGTAAAACGAAGAGGCTCCAAGTTCGATATAAAAAATAAAAAGAGAAAACTCAGACTAAACGCATATGCAAGAAAAAAGCTAACAAATGCGCATACGTTCTTTAAAAAAAAATAATAATAAAACCCCGGGGTGCATGGAATTGAACGAACTCTCGTAGTCACGCTTGGGAAAGCCGAGCGCTCGCATTCAAAAGTGATATCGTGTCCGTCATTTTATTTTTTACACAGAAAGTATATGATGAGCTGATCAGCGAGATCATACCTTAGGCTCGAATCATCGGGAGGTGTGTCTTGGAGCGGCATTAATGATTCGCCACCTTCCGCAATCCGAAAGTCCATCGACCTGACCGCCCGGCCAAGTCATACACCTGAAACGAAAATCGAAGCCAAACCACTTTAGTTTTTTTGTTCGTTTTTGCCCCCCAACACACCTGAACACTTCGCCGAAACACACAAATGCATATGTCGTCGAAATTTGCGATCTAAACCGATGTAAACGAAGGCGGAAGTTTGGCCGCGGAAGACAGAAGTGGTAGCTGTCAAACTTACGGTCAACATTTTTAAACTCGAATCAAGGTGCGAAGCAAACATCGATAAAGAAAAAAAAGGTCGCGACGTCGAGGAGCGTTGCACGTTGTCGTCTTGGCACGAAGTGGTCTTAAAATACGCTTATCGCGTGAAAATTAGCGAATAAAGAAATCCTGGCACGAATCTTGCATCGGAAGGCAAACAAATTCGCAGATGTGTCGGGCATACGAAACAAGTGGTTCGTAGCGTTCTATGCTGCGCTCGTTCGCGACCTGCAAGGGCTGACAAACTTACCAACGTGCGGTGCCAGCTCGTAGAGTGGTATCAATAATATATTCATCGTTGATAACATGAAGTAGTAAGCGTGGTTCCCTTTAAAGGCTTTAAATGTTCGATGGTAATCGCCTGATCAACCACCAACACACGTATCTGTTTGCAGTTGATGTTTGCCACCGTAGATGGCGCCAAGGTTGCTTTTGTTTTTTTTGTGCGTTTTTATTTTAGGTGTAGAGGCATTCTATTGTCAATCATTTGTCAGCTGTCTTGATCTCTCGAGGGAGAAGCTGGAAGTTCAAGGTCACATATTGTTTTACCTCCCTTGAGTAAAATTGTTACTCCGTAATCATTTACAAGGGGACCGAGTAGGGTCATATTTGCTCTTAGAAAGCTAGACGGATGACTCGATACTTGATCGCAGTAATTATTGACATGGACATCAGCACAATGGCGGTCGAGATGTAGCGTCGGTTGTGGTTTATGATGTGATCCCAATTTGTGCGGTTTTCCTCGTGTTTGGGTGCATTCCTGCGTAATGTCATTAGATAGGCACATTACAGAATGCTTTAAGATGAAAAAGCCGAAACCATCGCCGGAAAAAAGCTGTTCGAGCGCCACTACGACTCCGAAAAGACGCGCCGCAAAAAGCAAGCTCGCCTCCTCTGTCCGCGGTTTTTCGACACCGGTTGGAAAAGCTGGCGGTAAGTTCAATTTATATTTGACTGCATAGCTTTAAGTTTCTGCTAAGACGGGACAATTAATCGATGCCTCTCTTTACCTCAGTATCGAGACGCGACGCCTCACCGGACCTTCTCGATCAGAGTTGTTACGAGACGACTGTGGACCTAAACACGATCGCCGACGACTTGCTGTGCTCTCAAGACGTCGTTGCGGCCGATGTCATCTGGGACTGCACTTCGCCGCGAAACAAAGTTTTCAAAGGTAATTAACGTTGTCCTCGAAACACATTCGCCAATAGGATCAGAAAAGTGAGAGAATTGTACACTGTTAAAGGGGCCATGAAAAGAATGTTAGCTGGGATACATTAATTTAGTTTGGGATTTCACTAATAGCATATCGTTTAGTGGGCCAAAAGAAAGAATGCACAAAGTCAGAAGCCTGCTTTTTGGTACTAAAATATTAAAACATAGCGGAATATTTCGTAGCTCCTTTCTTTCGAAAGCTCTCCGCCTTTTCACTGTGATACATCCGCGACACCCAAAGCACGTCAGCTGGCCCTACAGGGGGCGCTTCTCTAGCTATCATCATCATCGTTTGCGACGTCACGGGTAGGAAAGACTGGGACAGACCGTGCAGATCTTGGATCCCTTGGCGCGACAGCCCGCTTCATGTGCTGTTTGGGTAACGTGCGGCAAAGTCTGTTTCACGCGTTTTGTTTATTTGGTGAAGCGATATTTGTAACTAATAATCCCTAAACAAGGGGGAACAAAGAAGACAGGGCAAACACAAATCTCCAAACACAGCTAAGTGTTAAGCAGGACTCCTGGTTAACTCAGTTCGTAGAGCACTCCACTGGAAATGGAGAGGTCCCTGGTTCGATACCAGAACCAGGCGGATTTTTTCGGTCGCGCGCCGGTCACCTAGCTGTGTTTCGAGATTTTGTTTGTCCTTTGTCCTGTTTGTTCCCCTTCTCCAGGGATTATTATTGTCATTCTTGTCCAGCTCGCCTGCACCTTTGCATTAATTTCTTTGCATTAATTGCATTATAATGATATTTGTATTGGGACATTTTACCAAAACTTGAAAGCGTGGCATGCGTAGTCGTGCTAACAAACACTTTTGACGCTGGGGTGGTGGTGTGCCGTTCTTAACCTCAGTACAAAAAGCAAGATGATAAATATAGAATATCCACCGCTTTATCCCAATACAACATCTACCATGGCAAACAGGGTGTATTTTTTTTATGATTCAGACAAAATAAAACTCAGAACTCTCATCAAATTGGAACTAGGAAAGCGAAATTCAAGAAATTCTCGCATGTCTAGTTAACACTTTAGTGAAAGCGACTCCGCGTATCCTGTTGGTTCTAATATGTTCTGTGAGTGCTGGTCTGTTATTAATTCCAAGCTAATCTTTTTTTTTTTTTTTTAAATTTTGTAAATCAGTAGAAAAGCATTTCCTTAGAATAACTGGCAGGTAGAAGCGGAGGCTGACTTCAGAGTCGTTTCAATTAAATACCTGCTTAATCACCTGGTCAACGTGAAACGTGCGACACCCCTTTGTGATAGATCCTTTCCGAAATTCAGTGCCATCTGGCGGTTCGTAAAGCAGTTTACGTTTTGCCATATCAATGGCGGATATGAACTTGTATCGGCACCGTCACTTCCGCAAGTCAACGGCACGCGAGGAATTGTTCAGTGTGAGTTCTTTCTTAATCACTTTCAGTTTGATGGTGACCAAGAACCTGCATTCAGAACAAAGCTCCAACCTACTCAGATGCCTCGAGAAAATTCTATACACCAAAGTGCTTTAGAACCGACTGTGCCACCCACAGATTGACTGAATCTGAGTTATTAGAAATAAACGCTTTCGTAGCTCTTGTGTTCCATTTCTACATTGCGTCGTACTGATCCCCCGAATGTACAGGCCTCGCAACATCTGCTTAGGAGCATCTTCAACATCTTCCTTTATCAGTCACAAGAAGGTCGCCATTAGTATGGCACAGATGCCGTTCCACAGATGATTAAAGTGATCAAAGTGGCCAGACTGAATTTCGGAAAGGGTCTATTGAAGTCTGAAATCTAGGGGGAGACTTCAGCGTCCCAAAAAATGATATATAGACCAACACGCAACACTGACATCATGCCCCTGCGGTAGGGCTGCTATTGGCAGGGCGCATACGCGGGCGCTCCACTTGAAACGAATCTGGTTCGTGCGGAAACTGTGCGTTTGCCCACACCTTGTGAGGGCTTGTTTGTAAACAGTGTGTTGGTCTATATGCCTTCTACGAATTACTACCGTTTGCATGTTTAATTTTGCGGACGCAAATGCACATAATGCGTGATGCGCTTCTCAGCGAGCGATTTTAAATTTGTAGACAATTAGTGAGAATCGGATTAGAACAAATCAATCAATTGCCTGAATTTGCCGGGCCATGTCCGACAATTTAAGAATTTATCAAACATTTCTGCTTTTCTTTTGAGCAGAAGTTGCGATGTCACGAACTTCTTTGCCACATATTCGATACAGGAGAAGCTAAGTGTCAATTACTGACTAGCGTTTGCTCGTCAGCAACTGTCGAGTTGCACTTGGATAGAAGCGTCGGTATCGGCAAGTTCAGTGTAGCTAAAACAAGTGTGAGGCGCTTTGCAGCACGACTGTGCGTGCAGGCACAGCTAAGAAGACAGCACATCATTTGCTGTGGTGAATGCGAAACCTTTTCCTACAACAGCCTCCACAGATCCAAAAATGCACTATTCAGAGAGGCTGTGAATAGCCCTGACGCACGTCTCACAAGCTGTAATATGAAGCTCCAGGGTTGTCTTTTAACATTTGAAACTTGTTAATATAAGAAGCAACTTCGAGGCACTGTTATTCATTAGAAAAATCGCTCACAAAAACGTTACACACATTTTTTTAATAAATACACCGTTTTTAATCTGCATAAATGCGAACTAACATACCCACACCGTGCTTTGACACAAAGTGTCGTCTGCTCGCATCCTACCAGCTCTATCACAGGAGGCCGCCCGTGAGGTGGCGCCACCAAGACATCTCATCGCCAGTAGACCTTATTCGTTTACCCTCGTCCCCAGCCACCTGGTAGGCATATCCGGTATGGGCGACGAAAAAAAATAATAAAATATTTCATCTTGCAAATAGCTGTGCACTTGGTGGACCAATCAGCTGCCTCCCTTTCATCACCTGATGCCATTCTCTGCGCTTGGTTATGCGCAAGGGAGCATGATCACATGGCAGAAGATAAAAGTGTGGCTGGCCCATCAAGCATGTAGCTCGCACAGCACTTGTCAGCTTAGGGGGAGTGGAGGATAGTTGCTCGCAGTACTGGGGAAGCTACAGGCGGGAGAGGGGGAAAAGCAACTTTTGTCCGAATTCGGAGCGACGGGCAAATCTTCTAGGGGGAGAATGGCGACGGCTGGGTACACAAACGAGGGTCCGAGTAAGAGGGGAGTTCCTTCTTTCCCTCCTCTTCAACTGTTTGGTAATGCTGCGCGATTTGTGAGTTGAAGGAAAGCTAAGAAGGAAGAAGTTGAAAAACGCAAATAAACTATTGCTTTTTTTCTCCTCTTGTAGGCTGTTATCAAAACTACCTGTATGGCAGGAAGTGATCTTTTTGGGCGCTAACCTAAGTGGTAAAGTTTGGGGCCCCCCCAATGCCCCTTCCGAGTAAAAGTGTAAAAAAGTGTGGATCTCGTGTTTGTGCTAACAGTGTTGCTCAGTGTACGCACCTTCATAGTTGATTGCATATAACTATGTACCTTCAATGTCATCATTTTCTTTGCAGTGAGAAAAAATGGGGAATCGGACGTCAAGAATCTGGTCAAGCATTTCAGATCTAAGGTGACGTCACAATCTTGCCCTCTGAATGGTTCTGCAGCAGTGGCATCACTGTTAAGGGGACCGCCCCTGGGTGCAGTGCTCAGGGGGGTGCAGCTGGGCAGTGAAAGAGGGGGGGGGATGTTGCTGCGGACCATTTCCCTGGGTGCCGCTGACCCTAATGACTCCGCTGTTCCGTAGTCATACACTAGTTGGTAAATGTCAGTATATAGAAATCAGGCGTGTTGACTGCGTCGCAGTGGTCGCCTATTATGCGCTGCCACCCAGCGGTAGCCGGCGCGGAATCATCGGGAAGCAATGTCAAGAAACTGCATAGCGGACAGCACCCCCATCCTGATTATGACGGGATCAAAGGCGGTTGTGAATCTAGAAAGGTTCTTTTGTGGTGTCTATATGACAAAGGGAAAACTTCTTCACGAATCTGGTCACTTGTACAACGTGAAGGATGTCCGTTTTGACGGACAAGTGGATAACAGGGAACTATACTCCGCAAACGAAATTCTGCGTGCGTAAGAGTTTTTTAGTTGGCGTTGAGTGGACTGTGCTAATGATGTACATTTATTGCTTTCTGAATCAGCTTGACAACAACCGGGTGATTGTTTTTTCGCTATTCTGCGATTCCCTGCCTACTCTTTTTTTGTGGGCTGATGGAAATATCCAAGGGTGGGTTGTAGCTTGGGTGAGCAACCTTGCTCCGCTTCTCGTTCCCGGTGAAGTGTTTGCTGCATATTTTAGAGTTTGCTGTAGGTGTCCATGTTGTTCCATCGTCGCTAGAAAAAGGTAATTGTATTATTCATCAGCAGCTTAAAGCAAAATGCGAATTGCAAGGTGAGAGACGCCACTTACTCGCATCGACGCACAAGTTGCATCCAGGTCGCGTCGCGCTCCGCGTCGTACGGCTTTGGAGGGAAGCCGTAAAACTTTGTGCCATGCACATTCTTGTGCGTACTGTTGCAGCCAACTTTGCAGCGGTTGTGGCTTTTTTGGTGCGGAATAGCCATTTCAGAGACTACAGCGCTTACCCACTAATACCGCTACAACACAACTAACACAGCGACTGGCAGAAGCTTCCCGATGAAGCCGACCTGTTTGCTTCAAGGGGCGCCCAAGTCGGGACTTGAGTTACGTCCGCCCGGTTTGCATTGTGTTGTGTATATGAGCTACAATGATCACACAGGACTATTTACAGCCAAAGGAGACGGAGCCAGCTGCTTTGTCGATATTGGACATCATCGGAACGAGCTACAACCATACGCCACCTCGAGCCAAACCTGACTGTCCCCGGTAAACGACATTACCGTCTTTGATTGGAACTTAATCTCCGGATTGATTTTATTTTTCACTCTACCTTTAGTCCTAACCTTAGGCTTAACTTGCTTTTTCACTCCACCTTCTATTGGCAGCTAATCTTGAGCTTAGACTTCCTTTTAACTCCACCTTTTATAATCTCGACTCCCTTTTCACTTCATCTTTCGGTGGTAGTTACTCTGAACTCCCTTTTCACTTCATATTTCTGTGGGAGTCACCCTTTAGTTTAACATCCCTTTTCACTCCACTCTTGGTGCTAACCTTTGGGTTAGCCCACTTTTTTCCTCTGTTTCCCATCGGGAGTTATTCTGGAGTTTAGGCTCTCACTTGACTACCTTTAATTTAGAGTTAATCTCGACTCCCTTTTCACTCCAATGATACTCTCGATCACCGTTCTAGCAAGCAGAGGAACCTGGCAAGCGATGCTGCGAACGCGCAGGTCATCATGGAGGAGATGCAGATGCTGTTGGACATGATGAAGCAGCCTGGGCCAAGTGGTAACTGCTTTGTACCATGCATATGTGCATGCTTTATGCATGCATTGTGTTTTGTCTTTTGGCATCTGGCAGTATTGTTATGCTGAGTTTTCTGTTTTTTGTTTGTTTTGTTCAGGTTCCGGAACAACTTTTGCAAGGTATGGCTACGTCTATCTATTCAGATAAACACAGCTGGTGTTTGTCTGTCTTTCACTGTTTTTTTTTTCATTGCACCATTTGTGCTTTTTATAATGAACCAGCTGGCCCAACCGTGTACATTACTGAAGTTCTGCTCCAACATTGCACGTCACTGAGGAAAAGAGAGTGAGAGAAATATCTGAATTGACCAGTTTCCGCGCAGAAAAAAAGGTGAATTTCGAGCCGCAAATATTTTTCCTTGGCTGTTGGGCGCTTGCATGTTTTGTTTCCGTGAAAATCCAGGTAGGCGATAATACTTTGCGTAGGAGCACTCTAAGAGCATGTTGGCTTCTTATTTGTCGGCTTCGTCGTGCACCCGATACTCTGCCTTTTAAGTCTGCAGTTAGACTGTTCACTTTTGACATTCTCTATCAGCCCAAGCCGCTCGAGAGACGTTGAGAAAACCGAGAAGCCCGCCAGGGTCGAAAAATCTGCCGCGAAGGTGCCGTCGCCGCCGTCGCCGACAAGCGATGAGAAGTGGGCAGGCGAGGACGACAGCCTGCTGGTTGCGGCGACGCAGGAAATGGAGATGACCGCCGAGATGAGGTGAGAGCATGTCTCGACACGTGCGGCGCCATGTCACGCGATGTGGCGTGCTAAGTTGAGAAGTATACCATCAAGTCCTGTGGTGCATCCATGACCTTTCTGTTTAACACTACAGTATACGTTTCGCGACGCCAGTCTGTACTCCGTTTCACCTTACGTCCGGACGCAGCGGACGCCTACAAGCTATCCCAGCCAATCCCGCTCTGTGGACGCAGTCCGTGATACGCTTTCCGCGTGTCGCTGTGCCCCCTCTCCAAGGTCACGTGACCCACACATGGCCTTGGATTGGCTCCGATGGCTCGGAACATCCGCTGCGCTCGGACGTAAGGTGAAATGGAGTACAGTATGAGAGAGTTGCACGGTACGTGTTGGTCGCGTGGCACTCTCGACGCCTGATTGGTGCGAATCGCTTGCACGGATTGCTGGGGCGAAACAAAGCATGGTCTCCGTATATCTTTCTATATAAAAAAATAGAGTATGTTGCCTTTTAGAGCGCAGCTCTTAAGTGCCCGTCTCCGGCTTGAGCGGCATTGCCGCCAGCGTAACCGTGAGGTCTCGTGACCTCACGGAAGTCACGTGATCTCACAGGGGTCACGTGAACTCATGAGGGTCACGTGACCTCACGACGGTCACGTGACTTCATGTCACACGTTGCACTATGGGAAACGTCCCTCCTCCTCCTCTCTCTTCCTTCCTCCTCCTCATCGAGAGCTGCACTCTAATTTTGCATTACAGAGATTTGAAAACGTCTTTCAGTTTTTTCATTAAAGAAAAAGTTTGAGGGCCTAGCAGAAGGGCGTACAACGGAATGTCCGCACGTAGGGAACTCGAAACCTGTCGTCGATGTTTTCACTGGCTGTGTCGCACAGTGTACCTTCCCAATGATGCCTCCGGGATTTTGGCACTGTTTGTTTTGTAGGACACCGTCAAGACTGGTGAAAGTGTCACCGGCGTCGCCTAGCGTTCCCACGGCGGCGTTGCAGACGCCTCCCAACATCTCAATGTTTGCATCGCCAATGCGGTGCCACCTGAAGCGGGCGTCACCACGGGACCGGTCGAGCCTGCTGCGCAAGTCGCCGAGGCTTCAAGCCCTGTCGCTGAACCGCACATCTTCTCCGCCGCAGCAGCGGAGCCTCGTTCCCGTCGCGGTGTCCGCTTCAGAACGGGCCCCGGTGAGGGAGTCGTCGCAGCGCGGTTGGGCCTTCTCACGGGCGATTTCGAGTGACTTACTACTGGCTCGAAATTTCGCTGGAATGCATGCTGGAAACTGTTTCCCCATACGTTTCTAGGTGCTCATTAGTTAGGAAATATGCATATAAATGAATTATACTCGATCGACTTGAACAGAAAATTATGAAACCACTGAAGGACAAAAGTTTTGGCGGCACCAGGACTTGACTAAACACAGATATGGCAAAGTTACGAATATAAAGGAGTTCTTTTTTTTAACTTGGTGCTCATTTTGAATTGAGCCGGAAAAATTGGCATCTGTGCTTAGCGAGCTCAGTTTTTCGTGAAAAGTATGCTGAGCGCAAGTTCGTCTGCTTCTTGCGCAGGGGTTGCGATGACATCAGAACGCCGAGCTCCGATTGGCTCTGATTGGACGGATAGTGGGTAGACCTCGAGGGAGCTAGCATTGAGGTCTACCCACTATCCGTCCATTTAAGCTAATCAGAGATCGACGTCCTGACATCACAACCCCTGTGAATGAAGCAGACAAACTTGCGCTCCGCATACATAAAGGGTGATTTTTACTGTGAGAATAGTATTCAAGGTGTAGCTCTGTTTTTGTAACAAATGTGAACAGCATCTTTGAGAATTGCATTGGTGGGAAATGAAAGCAATCGCAATTGTACATCCCCCCTCCCCCACACTTTGCAAACATGTCCCTCAACCCCGTCATCTGCTTTCAGTGACCTGTGACCCCATTTCGTAACCGTCTTCTGAGTAATAATTGAAATACCGCATTATTTTGTTGCACGACAGGTTCAATCCCCGGGACCGATCTTTGACGAGGATGACGAGGATGAAGCGCTCTTGGATCAGATCTGCAGCACATACGAACAGCAGCAGGAGTTGGAGAGGAAAATGGCCGCCAAGTGTCCACCTCCGCGTGCTGACTCTGGAACAGCAGCAACCTCCTCCAGACTCGACAGAGACAAGCCGTCGCCGACCGAGGCCGCCACAACGACTCTTGGACGCAGCGTACACGTTGCAACCTCTGGACTGCCCATAAATGAGCCAAAAAGTGCCACAGGCTTTAAACCTTGTGGAGTGACAGCACGAGTAGCGTCAAAGACGGCCGGTTCAGAGGGCGGCGTCACTTTCGGAAGCGGCAAGAAGGGCGCTGTTTCGAGTTCCCTTTCCCCGCATGGCACGGTGTCTTCATCTCACAAAGCGATACCTTACGTGACGCCGTTGAATTACGCCCACTCTAAGGTCGCCGGCACGGCAAACAACTGCGGAGTCTCGAAGAGTGCCGACGCGTCCTCAAGCCACAAACGACCGCCGACTCTCCTGCCCGGGGCTCGCAACGGGAAGCACATCTCCAGCGTGGTCAGCAGCGGCTCCAACTCTTGGGTCGTCAGCACTACTGCGACGGGACGTTCTGCCGTCAGCAACGGAAGCGGGACGTTGGTCGTCTTGCCGAGCGTCGCACAACCTTCGTCCTCGAGGAACTCGGCTTGGGCAGTGGCGACGGCGACAACCCGAAGCCCGCCAACTGTACCCAAGTCGAAGTCGCCCTTCAGAACCCAGGCGAGGATGCAGCTTTCAAGGGCCAAGACAACCAACACGGCAGATGCGAGTATAGACTTCGGAGACGACGACGACGACACGGACTTCGCGACGCCTGACGTCGTGTCCTGGCTGGAGAAAGTGGAGTGTGAGTGCTGTCTGCTTTTGGACACCTTTCGGTGCTGTCACCCTGGTGAAAAAATGCCGAGTCACTGGGCCGTGGATGCACGTGCGACGTGTAACATCCGGTAGAAGAGGGGTACTGCGTGTGCTCGAATCGTGTTCCATGGTCCTGTGGACAAGGATGGCAGCGCTCGGGAGGCAATTGTTAGAATGGCCTATTCGCAACTCCAGCCCGCCGCTCGCCCTCTTGTGGACGAACGGAGAACCAGAGAAGCAAGGACGGCAGTGGCGGCAGCGGCACGGAAACGGTGGCAGGAACTGTCGGCCTTGATGCGTGAAGCCGTTTTAACGAAAAAAGTGAGCGCATTAAAAAAGGAATTTTTGTGCTCCGCCTTGCAGCACTACAGTGTTTCACGAAGGACCGGGACGTCCAATTTCATTAGGGACTTTTCGTATATCGCATACGCTGCGGGTTTCTGGTCTTGTGCATGATCGTCAGCTCAGTCTGTGCTTAACGTGACGGCGGCAAACGCTCCCGCTAATAATGTAGAGCTCTATAGTACGGTCTACGAAAAGTCTATTCTTTGCCATAAGTAGGAGAAACCTCGTTGCACAATGGTATGTCGAGCAACACACACCGGGAATAGGTTTGCGCTTTAAGGCCGTTACAAGGAACATGACCATTCATTCCATGCATTTTCAAAAGACAAAATACGCATACTTACTTTCAGGTAATTACAAAGGAAATAATGAAATGTTCCAAGCATATTAAGCGCGTCTGTATTAGCCAGCTGTTTGTGACGAGAGCTTAGAACAGGCAGTTTTGGCGAGAGGGGCCGCAACGTTGCAAATAACACAATACAAAAAATGTATGGTATATTAAAATATTTATTTTTTATAGAGTGATTTATAAAACCCCTAAACACGCCGATTATGTTAATAGGCAGTTTTAGCATAGCATACAACACCCATAAACTGCAGTTGGACGTACAGCGCACTGACGTTCAACCGACGCTACCAACTTTCACGAGCGGCTTGACAGCCGAGTTGTACAACTTATTAAAATAGCTTAAATAAGTGTAAATGACTGTTAAAAAACAAGTAATTGTTTTTTGTTTTTGTTTACTGCAAAGCTTTGGTGTGTTTTTTTTCGTACTATTTGATGCATATTTTAGCTCTTTAAAGTCTTATATCGCACCATCTTTAAGCCCCTCGTAAAAGTTGGAGCCGTCGGTTTGACGTCAGTGCGCTGCACAGTGAACTGAATTTTCGGGGTGCCGTATATGCGATAAGGGGTGTAAGGACTGCAACCTTTTCTTTTAAAGCGAAGAGCACGGCAACGTTCCTGGTGCGCGCGGAAAATTATGCCTCAAAGGCACAGCGCAAACTTCTGGATGTAATGCTACACCGCACAGTAGCCTGCGGTAACAAACTTTCTATCAGTAACCATAGAACAGTTTGATCACGTGTTGCAATACACTGAAACTGAGATGGTAGCAGCGAGTTGTGAGCCTGTGACATGAAGACATCAATACTGTGAACACTGCCTTTCCGAAGTTCGACGGTTACCAGACGAGTCTTACTTTTTTGAGCACAAATGGTCAGGCCAAGCGCAAACATGATATCTTCATCACCCTCGAAAATATTCTGCCACAAACGGTGGCGTGGATGGTGCCCAAAATGCGCTCGCCCACCACAAAGCTTCGCAAGTCGAGGTTTCTGCAACTTTTGAATGTCAGCATGCTCGTTTTCCTAACGTGCGTCAACATCTCCGTCACCTGTAATAGGATCCCTCCCTAACCGCTTCACATTTGTAGACAAATAAATCGTTTTTAGCGCGTGACCAGCGTCAGCGAGCAGGCGCACGGGAAATTCTGGAGAATCTATCCCTGTCTCTTCCGCCTTGAAACTACCGCCCCGCCACCTATAGGGCGTTGGAGTTGCGAATATCGTACTTTCCCGAAGGGATTTGTAAACATGGTTCGGCTTACAGTCGTGACTGCGGGTAGAAGCAGTGTTTACTTCAAATATAAACTTAACTGCAAATGAGATCTCGCGTCAGTGCTGTCGGGTTTTGGTTTCTCTCCCTAATCTCGAGATTTCAAACCACATCAATGCCTAATCCTCTTGCCCGCGTGCTTTTATGTATTTTCGAGATGTGAACATAAAGTTAACGTAACAATCTAGAGGGAAAAGTCCTGTGCCTTTCGGCCGCTTCGGAACGGCTGGGCATTGACTCGGGCATTGGTTGTCTCGATGGAACCGCACTGCTGGTGACGCGTCTATATAAACAAAGAAGCGGGAAGACATCACGTTCAAGGTCTGCGTCTAGTTTTTTCTAGTTTTCATATGCACGAAAACATCGGCGTCGTGCGTCCTACGGAATAAAATTAAGTTGACAAGCATTCGAGCAGCTTCAGCTCACTGCTGCAAAACAAACACTCCTGACCTATCATCTGCTTTCTTTCTCCTCTTTTCTGTCACTCCCTTTCTCTCGACACCATCGATGTTGGTGCTTGCAGTTTGCCACGTTCTGTCTTTACCGCCCAGGCCATAAATGGTCACATTGTTTGTTTGTCTATTTCCTCAGCCCAGCGTGCTCCGAGCCAGAAATGCACCCCAGAGGAAATCGCCAAGAAGAGAGAGGAGGCCCTGCGTCGCCGACAACTCAAGGCCGCCCAAGCCAAGCACCAGTGGAGGGGACGTCTGCGGCCGTCCAGGTGACTGCAATGGCTGAAGCTGACGGAAGTCGTGAACTGAAGCTACGTTGTGCGCATTTCAGGAGACATTAGGAAACACGCTCACAAACATGTCGCAAGAATCGTGTGGGTGTGACTTTGCCTCGTTTGTTCAGGTGATTGGGCCTTTGTCAGTGAGGTGTCTGGAATGCCAGAGGCTGGCATAGTACTTTAGACAGTCGGGCTGTGGACAGTCGACATAGGAGCATCAACTTCTGATGTTGTAACAGTTAAGCATCCTCCAGGGAGACAGTGTGGGTGTTATTGCTGCGTTACTGTGCAAAGATATATCAAGATGCGTGTTTGGCGGGGTACCGGACAGCTAAAAGCAGCCTTCTGGAAAGCTTTCAGCTTGTGTCGCGACGGTTGATCACATACCTGATCTGATGTTGTCGAACCAGACTGTACTGTGTGTTTGTGTGTGTGCATAAGATCACTGGGACACTTGTGTTTACACACCTTTATCTTGTAATGCAAGTGAAGCCTTTAGTTCACTGACATGTTTGTTCCTCAATGCAAAAAGCATGCAAAAAATTTGGTTGATTTTTTTTTATAATTGTGTTTGCATTAGCTGGATGAAGTTGAGATATTTCCGTGTCTGTGCTTAATTAGGTGAAATAAAAGCCGTAGAAATGTTTGCTGCAGAGGCTTCGTTGGTGTGCCATTGGTTCATAGGTTTGTGGTCAGCATATGGCCAAATCAATTAAACACTATTTTTATTTATTTGTTTTATGAAATGTTGCAAATACTATAAGAGTAGAATTCATTTCCGCAGCACAGGAGCTGGCACAGGCACATCCTAGTGCAGGCAAATGGATTGGCCCTTTTTTTGTGACGTCACCCGTGCGATGTCCTAGGGTTCCAGAACTGCCTTTGGTTGTACCTTTGTCTTTTTATATGTATATATATATATATATATATATATATATATATAAATATGTACTTCCAAGCCCTTGTCTGTTGAGCCTTGGACATTTTCTTTCCATAATTTAATTTATTCTATCTTGGGATAGGAATATGGCCCACAGACTTGCCTACAATAAACTGTAGCAGTCTCAATAGCTTCGAGGAAGGAAAGGAAATAATCATAGAGCTACTATAATGTATGCTGGCGGTTCAACTGGTGCTAGTGTCCATGCCATTTCCGGGATGCAAGTGGGCAGCTCCAGCCTACCTTTGCGGTGTTCCTGTGCATTCTTATGGGAAAACGCGCGTGCATTAGTATGTCTCTTCACCGGAAAATAACATGGAACTCTTCTGTTATTTGGGTCATACGAAATAGTATGTACCTTTATTAACATTGTAAAAGTGTAATTCCTTTAGTTACATCATTTTTCTTCATCGGTGAACAATGTTTAACTTTGCTATATTTCAGGCCCAAACGTGGGTTCCACGAAAGGTGTGTAAACACGAGCAACGAATCTAAGTAAAATGACAGTCAAGGTAGAGTGTGTTCAAGGTTTGCCAGGATTTGGATGACACTTATATATTGCCAATATGCCAGTCTTGTCACATACTGTAAAACCCTTAATGTTCGCGAGCCTCTAATTTTTGTGAATTTTGCGACTTAGGAAATTCGCTAATTTTGGTGGCCGCCGATATTTCTATTGTGTGTAGAGGTGAAATCCAGCCTTTAGAATTCGCGAAATTTAATGGTAGTGAATCTAACCCCACTGGCCAGTTCGCAAAATATCGGAGCCACGAAAATAAAGGGTTTTTGCAGTATATGAAAATGGCCTTGTCGTACATCTTTACGAGCGGTTCAAAACGTAAAAAATAAAGTATGTGGGCTATGAAAGGTGCCTCTTTTTATTATTTCCTATGCCAGGCAGCTTTTATCGGGCACATGTTTTCTGGCTTTTTCCTATTTTAAAAGATTTTGTGCGTGCGGTTGATGTTTTGAATGCAGAACAAGCATCTTTGAACATATCTGCACGAGCAGAGAGAATAAAGCAATGCAGAGCAAGTCATCTGCTTCTTGCACAGGAGTTGCAGCGACGTCGGCACAACGCCGAGCCGCGGCCAAACTGGATTCGCGTGCTTCTTTTTCGCATGGCCTTTTCCGTCGCAAGAGAAAGCATGTACAGACTGATAACCCTGGAACGTGGGGACAGAAAAGTGACTGTCAGACACGAAAATCCGAACGCAGCTAAAGATTTATTTTTTAGACTACATCCTTAAATAGGCCCACAACCACACAAGGAGATGCACACTGCCTGAGGTCGCACAACTATGGCAGATAAGAACAAAAGACCCCGGTGACCTGCAAGAGGTTACTAGTTTGTAGGGACACAAGGAAACTCTGAAAGAACCAATGCACTCTCTAAATACAAGCAACCAACGCAAAGGAACCAAGATAAGCACTTCAACTACACCTTTCCCCCCACTTTTGCTTTAACAAGAAAGCATGTGCATCTTTCTGCATGGGGCACGGGCACCCTACTATCCTCGCTGTTCCATTATGCTAACCTTGCTTAGAAGGGTCGGTTTCTCGTGGCCCAATAGTATATTTTGTGTTTCCCAAATAGCACGTCAATATCGGGGAAGACTTCTGGCGTGTCTTTCCACCAGCTGCCCAGCGATGAATCCCTAAGCACCACGTGAAAGAAGAAGATACCAAGAAAGAACCTTTTTGTCAACCAGTACCCACCTGTGGTGTATGCATAAGGTCCTTTATTCCCTTAGTGAGGCATTTAGCAGATTATTGTTTTAATGGCAATCAAATGAGCAAACAAGATAACGCTCATACCCTGTGATTTTTGTGCCATGGCATTACCTCAAGGAGAGTCAACATTGAGGTCTTCGACCAGCACTGTAATTATGCGTTTTCTATTGATTCTCGGTGTTCATACTCAGAATTAACGTTCACCGCCAGTCACTGAGAATCCAGCAGCACCTTATGCACACGTCGCATTTCCAGCAGATTGTAAGCAATAGGGCATAGCAGGCTCCGCGATAGTTTCCAAACGATTTACGTGTTTGCTTCTTTGTCGGCTTCTCCAGTTCGCTTTCTGTGGCATTGCCGAAGAGGGGAAGAGAGCAAGCGTGCACAGCTTTGATCAGCGCTCCAGGGCGCACTACCGTACCTGTGATTGCAGCCGCGCTGTGGCACAGCTGCAATGCCTCACTGGACAGGCTGTAAAAAAATTGTGTTTTGTGTGTATGCTTATATAGCCTGAAGTTAGTCTGCCACAAAGCGTGATTTGTCTTTTGACTGTAAATGAGCAATACAGCCAGTGCAGTACAACTGCTAGCCTGGGTCTTTAACATATACACCACGCATTACTGATACATGACTGCACCCCGGTACGATGCTCATCCAGATCGAAATGGGCAGGGTTGGGGATTGAGCCCGGGATCCCTGGGTTCTGCAACACAAGCTATCGCTCCATGTGCTCCAAGCTGGTGTGTGCTTGCCCACTCGGCCACTGACACCCCAACAGGCCGTAAGACAGCGAGCCCGTATCCAATCTGGCCGTGGCCAAGCTCTGAATGGCTTGTTTGAAAGGATAATGGAATCCGGGGAACCTTAGGTTCAATCCCCACCCATGCTCGTTTCGTTGTGGATGAGCATTGTACCGGAGTGCGGTTGTGTTACTATACTGCGCAGTGCACGTAAAGACCCCAGGCTAGCGGTTGTACAGCACTGGCAAATCGCTCATCTACAGCTGAGAGACAAGACGCCGTTGAGGCAGACTAAGTTCAGGCTGCATAAACATATCAACAACCCCCTCTTTTTTTTCTTCAAAAGGATATTGGGTTGACCTTAATGCTGGATGTTTTGAGGTCTACCCACTATTTTTTTCAATCAGCCAATAAGAGCTCGGTGTTCTGACACTATTGCAATTGCTGTGTGGGAAGCAGATACACTTGCGCTCTGCATATAGTACTTATTTATTGCAAATTGGGACTATATGCGGAGAGCAAGTCGTCTGCTTTTAGCACAGGTGTTGTGGTGACGCCAGAACGACGCCAAGAAGCTACCTTTAGTTTACCCACATACTATCCTTCAATCCGAGCCAATTAGAGCTCGGCATTCTGACGTCACCATAACCCCTGCAAAAGAAGCAGACGAACTTGCGTTCAGCATTAACTTGGCCTTCGCTTTATTTTGATAGTTTTCATGCACAGGGAGTTACTGATCGAGAGTTACTGCGTAGTTTTCATTTCCGTGCTTGAGAAACGTTAAAAACTATTACATTATAATTATTTGTAATATTTCTTATAATCAAGCGCAGAAAAAAAATGCACCAGCTTTTCCCCGTAGACATTCGGTACTGGATGTCAATTTTCGACTGGTTGCTGTCTGCTTCCATTTGCAACTACTATCAACTAAGGGACCTTACTATCAACAGCACACTAGCGCCAACTGAACCTCTAGCGTACATTATAATATTTCTATGGTCGCTGTCACTCACTGATCTCTATGACAATTGCTGGATTGCGTATCTCTGCTTGGTCACTGCAGCGCAAGTGCGGCCACCAATTGGCCATCTTACATCTCAAAAAATAATGTTTTTGGAGCGTTGCGGAGACTGGCAGCAGCGTGCTGAAGACACGTTTTCTACTTGTTCGTCGTCATTTGCCTGAAGAAGTTCTTTAAAACCCCGGCGTGTAAGCTGTGAAACTTCCCGTTGAGAACATGTGGAAGTTGTGAGAAAAAAAGCACAACTCGTCGAAAGAAAGTTTTGCCGGGCGTGATGAAACCTTCCTTGGGAGAAGTGCTGCATCTCTGTGCCTTCGCATGCTTGGATACCGATCAAGTATCGACACCATGTGGAAGTGTTTTGCGAGTGCAATATGTGCTTGAAGCCGTATGTGCCTCTAAAGCAGCGTTTTACTTTACTCTGACTGTACTTGTAACTTGCGGCACTTGCGGTCCAGGAACAAACTTGATCCAGCGTCCAGTGCCGACGGAAGAGGTAGAGGCAGAGGCTTGTCTTTTTTTGTATCATTAGACGGTTTACAGAATACACGCACAACAGCTCCGTATCACTGATCAGCACTGGCTCATTATCAACCTACTTTATTGCACTTGTTGTTTGAGCGCGGCTCGCCTAATTGTGATTGGTCGACAAATTTAACATGACCGTATGGGCCGCGCTTCAAGAATTTTCATTTTCGCCGTTTCGAAAACCTTTCAAATGCCCTATAGCATTGCTTTATTTGTGCTGCCAAGTGATCCATTGGAGTAGATTTAGAACATAGCCATGGTATAATAGTGCATAAGAGCAACCGTACAGATTGTTTCCCCCCTTTATTGATTGCAACTCTCCGGAACAACTGGACGATCTAGATACTCCGTGGCCGATATATGATGCAAAGACATGTACGCGTGACACACCTTCAAAACTTTGCCGCGGCGCCGATCCTTGATCGGTATCCAAGTGTGCGAAGCCACAGAGACACAGCGCTTCCGCGTGCCAAGGAAGCTTGGATCACGCCGCGAGACTGGCGAAACTTGCTTTTGACGAGTTGTGCCTTTTTCCTGCCGCACTGCGGTTCCGTAAAAATTTCCACGTGCTCTCAACGGCAAGTTTCACGGCTTACAAAGGGTTGTAAAGAACTTCTTCGGCGAATGATGACAAACGAGTAGAAAACGTGACTTCAGCACGCTGCCGCCAGCCTCCGCATCGCT